AGCTCTGTAAGCTTTGTGACCAGGTTCTGTCTATTCAGATGTTATCAAGACAGAATGAAACTGCTCAGAGGGCAGGAGAGGAGGTGTGAAGCCCCACTTCTCTCAGGTACTGACATTCTCCAGGCACCGCTCCATGCCCCAAACCCTGATGACCCTAAAACCCTTTCAGCACCCGCCAGACCCCCTACCACTAGCAGTTCAAACTCAAACCATAGCAGAGGCTCAGGATGTAGAAATGAATTTTCTGGTGTTTGCAAGAAAATTTTTGCAAATGTGAGACTGGCATCTAAGTATCTGCACACAAATCTAGAGCATGGGCCAGCTGGGATTAGCCTGCCCTGCTGCTTTTTTGTAAAACTACCCAGCGTGATGGAGCCAATTTTCAGCAGAGCAATCTTGGACTTCAACATGGGCCTCCTGTTTCCTGGGCCAGCCCCCTTCCAGCATCTGAATCCAGAATCACCCATCCCTACTGGTGCACCAAAGGCAGCCAAGATTTGAGTGGAGGGTCAGGAGAAGCCTCTGGTGAGAGAGCTGATGGGGGTGGACAGGGACACGTAGTTGAGGGCTGTACCCACTTCCTTCCCTACCCACCCCCAGGGCCTCAAGATTCCTGTCCCTCCCTCTCCACTTCCTGGCTTTCTCTCACCAGCCTTGACTCTCAGTTCTTTTTATTTTGTTTCTTTTTAGCCAGAGCTGGAGGCCCTATGGGCCCACTCAGGTTTTTCTGAGACCCAAAACCATAGAAGGGAAGTGAGAGGGGAATTTCTTTTACTATCTGGCATGCAAATGAGACTAAAGAAGGGAGAGTGAGTGAAGCTGGAGACAAGCCACAGAGCCAACACCTGAGTACTCCAGGAGGGAGGGGACAGGGAACCAAGACTTAATCGGTGACTTCTAGGGCAGTCCCAGAGGTTACATACATGGCTGTAGTTTCAGACAGACCTGGATTCAAATTTACATGACATTGGCTCCGCCATTTACTACCTTGGACAAGTTACTTAATATCCAAGCCTCAGTTTCTTCATCAGCAAAATGGGGATAATTGTAAAACCTACTGCAGAGCTCCTCTGAGAGAACAAAGCAAGAGGATGTCTGAAGAATGGGGCATCGTCCGAACAGCTTTGTGATTCACCTCATCCCCGACCTTTAGCTGGATCTTCATAGCCATCCCCCCTCCCCAAATTCTTCCCCGGCAGTTTAGTCACCTGCTGGTCTCTCCACTAGCCCTCTCCCATCCATCCAAGATTGATATAGCCCATCTGCTATTTTCTTTATCAAAATCACAAAATGCTAGGTCTTAATAAACTTTAGAAGTAATGCACTTCTGTCTTCTCACTTGAAGTGAGAAACCTGAGGCCTGGAGAGATGGGCTTATCTAGAACCTAGGTTTCTGGGTTCCTAATGCAGTGCTCCTTCTTCTTCCCAGAAACCTACCCCCTCCTCAAATCTTCGTGTTCCCCAAGCCTTCACTCTGAACCTGTGGAGCCATCTACAACATTATCTTGAAACCTAAATCTAACCCAGCCTTTTCTCCTTCAGCTCCTATCCCCCGCCGCAATCTCCTTTTAATTATACTGTATTTAATTCTCCAGCAGCTCTTTTGTTAAAGGCTCAGAGAGGTAGTTTCTCACCCAGGGTCTCAGAGTTGATCGGTGATTACACCGAGATTCACTTCCCACGATGCTGGCTCCAAACCCAGGGCCCTATTTACTGCCCCCTGCACAGGTGCCCCCTTGGTTTGCCCTCCTCCCATTCCCTGGGATTTGCCCCAGTCCTTATCCAGAACCCATCATCTGCTGGGACCATAGAATCCAGGGCCTGGTATCCTCAAACCCAAGGTCTGCAGAAAAGCAGTAGCTCCCCACCCTGCCGCATAGGCCCTCCTTCCTCCCCCTTCCACCCCGCCTCCCTACCTCCTCGTTCAAAAGCAGCCAAGTTGAAAGAGGCCAGCAGACAGCCCTGTGATCACCTCCAAAAGCTGCTATCAAGAGAGCCACCGAGAACCTCCCAAGATGAAGGGCTTCCTCTTCCTCCTACTCATCATCAGCCTCCTGGTTATGATTCAGGTAAGAGCAGCCCCTCAGAGCCTCTGCACCACCACCTGGGACCCCCACCAAGACCTGCCTGGCTTGAAAGGGGGGCATGCAGGCCCCTGGGCACCCAGCCTTCTCCCAGGGGGGCAGAGGCTCTAGCAGGGAAATCAAAGGCTCAGGGGGCCTGGCTCCCAGCCTTCCCAGCCCTTCTGGTTGGGGTCAGACTGTTTGAGGGCTGCCCTGGAGCAGGGCTGCCTCTTATACCCAAGCCTGGGGAGGCACTTACAGACAGCCAGGCACATTGAGGCACCCAAGGGGTGCTGTGGAATAATAGGAAGTTAAGAGACTTGGGAAGACAGCCCTGATTGAGGGTGGCATCAACCTACAGGGAACCTGGGGAGATGGTCCTGTTGGGAGGGGGCCCGGAAATGTTCACGTGGAGCCTAATCTGGCTCTGGAGGTGGCAGGGAACCTCTGGGAGAGAAACCTGTTTGTTCAGCAATGCCAGGAAGACAGAAATCTCCCACTCCAGAAACAGCTGGAGTCCCAAAATCAACTGCTATTCCAGGAAGCAGCTGTGGCAGCATCTTATCTCCTATAGGAGATGGGAGCCATCAAGTTCTCAATCAAGAACAGCTTGATCAAGTATCAAGGACAGCTTGATCACCATCAGAAACACCTTAATCTCCACCATGGGCAGCTTAGTTGCAGTTTGATCAGGCATTGAGAACAGTTTGCTCACCATCTGGCCATTTCGTCAGGAAAGAAGTTGCACCCTCCCTGCCCACCCACATGCTGTCAGGTGCCTTCTCACCGGCCCTGTCTCATGTGACCCCCCCCAACTCTGATGGGCTCTTCTCCCCATTCACAAGATGAGAAAACTGAGGCTCAGAGAGGCTAAGCCCCTGGCCAGGCTAGTGAAGTCAAGGGCTGGGGCCACAGGCTCCCTTAACTCCTACATGCTGGAGGAGCTAGTGAACTGGCAGACATGAAAGGAAGATTCCATGGGAGATGGACCAGGGACCAGCTTGAACCCTGTCTGTGTCAAGGCAGGAAGCAGCCAACCGTCCCCACAGGACCTTGTGGCAGAAGTGGTTATGGGGACAGAGAACTGAGGACTGTAGTATCTGCGTGGGGGAACTGCACCTCTCAACAACAAATACAAGATTCAAAAGCCCCCTGAACTTTCCCCACTTCTCCTCTTGCAGATACAAACCGGAATCTCAGGAAACCAGACCACCACCAAGAAACCCATGAGTGGGGCCCCAGCTCTTGGCAGCCTGGGCGGCGGCAGCATCCTTCTCTTCCTGACCAGCACCCTCATCCAGCTCTTCCATCTCAGCTGAGGGGGGCACGCCTCAGCCACAGCCCTGTGCCCCCTGAGACAGCTGCCACCATCACTAGCAAGAGAAGTGCCCCCCACAAATCCTTGGGAGGGGTTGATGCCAGAGATGACCGGGTTGTGGGAACTGACAGGCAGTGCCTTGGGGGCAATGGCCGACACAGGGAGGTACTGATGTGGAGGGGCAGGTACCACCCAGCCAGGGGTCAATAAAGTTGTCATATACTTGGAGCAGGGTCTTGTGTGTGGTCACTGGACATCACTGGGCCCCAAAAGCCAGGTCTGCAGCAGCACCAAGGAGCCACCCATGTCCCCATTGGCAGGAGAGGTGGTACCAGGGAGCTATCACCCCACCTTCCCTGCCCCAAAGTCCAAATGATGAGGCCCCTCCCCTTTGGATCACCTTGCAGGGACACAGCCCAGAACCTGCCATCTTCACCTCCCCTGTAGTTACATTTGCTTCACCAGTCCCAAGGTGTTTGGGAATGATGGTCCCAGAGGACCCACCCCTCCGACCCCAACCCAGACCCTTGACATCTCCAGTTGCAGAGGCTCAGAGAGCTTCCCACTCCACTACCTCAGTGTCTTCAGAACAACAGATTCAGAGAGAACACTTCCCTCCAGTCTCTAGGGGTTCCCAGCCATCCTCCTGGCCTCATGTCTCCAACCACTGGGGGCAGAGAAAGACGAACAGGCAGCTGTCCATTTCTTCTCCATCTACCCATGGGCTGGGAAGGCAGGAAGGACAAACAGCTGCTCTACCACTCCTGCCCATCCTGGATTTGGGGTGGTGCAATTGGGAGCTGCAGAGTGGGAAGGGAACCCTGGAGAAGCTCCAGGGGCCTTGACCATCTCTATCTCCTCCTGGAGGACCTTGACCAAGGGGTCAAGTGTCTGCTAGACTGAGGGACTATGTCCTGCCCTCTCTGAGCTGGGTTAGGGACAAAGAGCCCCTGTCCTGTCTTCTTTGACTGAAGCCAAACTTTCAGACCTTGAGACCAGAGTTGGGGGAAATTGAGAGGAGCCCTGGTGGGAAGACTCTTTGGGGTTTGGCTCCCCCTCACTTCCCGAACCTGGCCCACTGTGCCTCCATCACCCTGAATGTCCAAGTTTCCACCCCTGGACTTGTCTGCATCCCTCTGCCACCGTCTGGCCTCTACCCTTCTCATCCTTCACATCTCAGCTGAGGGTCCCCTCCTCTGAGCAGCCTGCCTTGCACCCTAAATGGTTTAGGTTCCTCCCCTGTGCACCCCTCCACTTCTGTTCTTACCCTGTCACTGAGGGTATCACCCCACCTGTCAGAATCCTCCACTGAACTGTGAGTTGCCTGAGGGTGGGGACCAAGGGGCTTGGTTCATGTTTGTGCCCTGCAGATCACTGTCAGACCTGGCTCAGAGCAGGCGCTTAGAACACATCATTTTGGAGGACTGTGTGCAAGACCACACTCAGCAGTTAGTCTGGTCCCAGGGCTCCCTCTGGTGGTGGAAGGAGGCATTACACCAGGGCCCCAGAATGAGCTGGGAGGAAAGAAGACCACCTGTGCATAGGAGGGAAGAAGGCAAGTGCACAAACCCTCATACTACCCCCAAATATCAAGGTGCTCAGAGATGAGGATACCTGGGAACATATTAGAAAACAGTTTATATTACAACAAAAAACTCTGTAAAAACATTTCATCCCAGGGAAAGCCTCCAGGGCTGAGGGGGTAGGGGATATTCAAAGCACACGGACAGCCCAGATTTGGGACGCCCTGTCCTTGGCCAGCTCCCACAGCACTGCGTGGTCCCGATCGTAGCCTTGGCCACCTGGGGGAGGGGGTAAGAGATGGGGAGATGGTTAGAGAGAGCTGGAGACTCCACTGCCCTTGGCCCTGTCAAAGTGCCTTCTCCCATACATATGCCCAACTTACCTTTCACATCTAGGATCCGGCCTTCGAACATTTGGCTGCAGATGTGGCCTGATTCATCGATGCTCCATGTCTGGCGGGGCAGGCGACTCTCAGCCCATAGCACCACCTTGGAGCCTGTGCTGGGGGGCCCAATCACCTGCAGGCTCATGGTGGGGGCCACCTGAGGCCCCAGGAAGTTGTCAGGCACAGTCCCTCCCCACCAGGACTCAACCAAACCCAAGACACCCTTGACACACCCAGCTTTGGCTCCTGGCTCTTATGGACTATGACTCTGAGCAAATCTCTTAATTCTTCTGGGCTTTGGTTTTCTCAGGGATAGGAATCTTCAAGTACTGGTTGTTGTGAGGGTTCAATGTGAGAAACCATAAAAGAGCTGGAAAAATATTAGCTCCTCCAGGAAGCCCTCCGTGACTGATTCTTGAAGTACAGGCTTTAGCAGCAGACAAGCCTCTACACACTTACTGGCTGTGTGGCTTTCAGCCAGTTACTTCTCTGTGCTCTGGTTTCCTTACCTAGAAAATGGGAAGTATAATAGAACCTGCCCCATAGTGCCCTCTAGGGATTACATGAGGCATTCACGTGAAGACATTTGCACAGGTGCCTCCAAATGCCACCTCAGGAAGGGCTCCCCTTGTCAGAGCTACTGATACTCCCTATTTTCCTTTCTTTATTTTTTCCTCTATTACACTTTTCATCATCTAAGGTACTAACATATTTTACTCATTTAAGCTGTTTCTTTCTCTCCCCACTAGGTTGCAAGCTTTAGGAGGGCAAGAGTTGTTTTTTCACTGCTATATTCCCAGCACCTAGAACAGGGCCTGACACAGAGCAGGTGCTCAGGAAGAGTTTGTGGAGTGAATCTATCATGATTGAGAGGATTCACGTCTGTCACAGGATATCAGAGCTGGGCGTCCCTTAGAAGCATTTGTTTCAACACTCTTGCTTTGCAGAGAGGAGACAGAGACCAGAGAAGAGCCCGAATTGCCCAGGGGGTACACAGCCTGCATTCTGCATCTTCCCAGGGTCCTGGCGTATCTGTATCTGTCTCTCTGGTCCAAGGCAGAGTCCTGTTCCCGACTGGACTGGGACTCTGCAAAGTGGCCTTGTGAGTGTCTGGGGCCCTGGTGTCCCTGTCCCAGCCCCTAAGCCAGTACCTGGTTCTTCAGCAGCCCGTCCTCGTGGTACCAGATGCAGCTGCCTCCGGCCCGGGGCTCAGAGACCACCACACGGCCTGCCTTCATGTCTTCCACGTGGTCTGGCACTGCCAAGAATCCCCCCAGTGCTTCATTCCAGAGGCGGAAATAAGCCCGGCGCTGGTGACAGGGGGAGCTGAGAGTCAGGGGTCTCTGGATAGGGATGTTCCCACTCAGGTCCCCAACACTCTCAACTCAGGGCCCGCCAGTATCCCAAGCTCCCAAGCCCTTCCTCCTGCCCCAAACTTTCCTCGACCCGGCTTCTAAGTCACCCCTTCTTTCTCACACATATACGAGGGCACATACGTAGTGCACACCCACACAGTTCCACGTCTATAGAGACACCCACACACTGGCAGATACACCCAAGGCCCACATGGTTGTACAGGAGTTCACAACAGACACAGACACATGGATACACGCAGCCGTGCAAACTCAAACTCTCTGTTCCCCTAGCTGACTCCATGCCAGGCACTTCTGTTTGCTACAAGTTTGGATGCATGCAGGAATACAGATGCGCAAGAATACAGATGTGCACACACACACTTATAGAGAGAAACATATGCACCACCCACGCTGCTAAGGCACCACGGAAGGGCGGGCATTGGGCTGTCAGGTATCAGACCTGGCTCTGCCACGAACCACCTGGGGGTCTTGGATGGTGGTGACAGTAATAATAGCAATAATAATAATCACAGCTGATGTTTGTTGAGTGCTAAACCCCCAAGCACTGGTCTAAGGGCTTTACATACATTATGATCTTCAGTCCTCAAAACAACTCTGTCATACATATTATCCCCATTTTAAAGATGAGGAAACCGAGGGCCACGGAGGTAAAGTACTTGCCCAAGATTGCAGAGCAAATCCTTGTCCACTTCTCTGAGCCTTTATTTCCCCATCTGTGAAATGCGAGGGTTGGAGATAATCCCCAAGATTTTTTCTAGCAATGATGTTGTAGGAGACTGAAATAGGGACCACACAAATATCCTCACACAAAGACACACACTCTCAACAGTGTCACAAGTACAGGCACATGCAGTCACAAACACACTCTCACAGATGTACAGGGGGTGACACACATACCCCCAGAGGTCACCTCCAGAGGACACATGGATACATAGACACAAAAATGCCCTCCGAAGGGACGCACACGCACGCGCACACACACACACGGCCACGCCTCCACATAAATGCACGTGCACACAAATGAGACACACGTCCAGACATGCACTCATAGATACACGGAAACACAGGTATAGACACAGTATTTCCCAAAGTGAGATGTGCTTACTACTGGTTGGTGGTACATGAGATAATTTTCAGTGGATAAACTTATTGTTAAAATTGAACGGTAATGAGTGGAGGGAATAACTCAGTGGTAGAGTGCATACTCAGCATGCATGAGGTCCTGGGTTCAATCCTCAGTAGTTCCATTAAAAAATAAATAAAATTAAAATTAAAAAATTTGAATGGTAATGTATTTATCACAATGTCTATTAAGGAAAAATCATACATACACATCAAACCCCATGATTTTATGGATATTATTCCTTGGGCTAAGGATAAAGTAAAAAAAAGTGAGTTGATTAAGAGGAAAATTTTAAGGAGATAATAGTTCAAGAGGAATGATGGTGTGACAAAAAATTGTCACAAAAGTACACAAATGCTCAGTTTGGGAAACACACAGCCAGACACACAGCCAGACAGGCCAGCCCAGATGCACTCAACACGCTACCCACCTGCTTGATGGGGTAGAGGGAGCCCACCCTCTGGGTCCCACTGTACGTCAGCCAGTTGGTGATCTCACAGCTGCCCACCAGCCACTGGCGGCCCCGGAAATCGCTGTGCTCACACAGCACCCAGCTGGGCCCAGCAAGAGCCAGAGACACAGGAAGACAGACAGACAGACAGACAGACAGACAGGTAGAGGAGGAGGCACAACCATCAGAACGTTCTCCACCTCCTCTTCTCTCATGCTGGGACTCCTCTGCCTAGGGTTTATCTTTCTGTCCTGGGAAGGGTGGAGGGAGGGGCTGCGAAGTAGACCTGAGGTTTGCAGGGCAGAGTAGGGTCCTGGAAAGGCCCCCAGGCTGGGGTCCAAGCCCTGAGTGCCAGTGACGTTTCTCAGCCTGCACTTCTCCCCCCTCCCACCTGGCTTGGAGGGGAGTAGAGTAGAAGTGGGAGGGAAGACCTGGAAAACCCCCTCACTCACTGGCAGCCCCCGCGCCCGCAGGACACACTTACACGCCCCCCTTGATCCGCACAGACAGCACGTGGTTGTTGAAGCCCTCGGCTTGCAGGCTCCGCACCTCCCTGCTGAGCTCAATCTCCTTCCCCTCGAAGCACTCCAGTCCGTACAGGAAAATGGACGGCTCTGAAAAGTGCTGTGGGCCCAGGGGCACGGACAAGGGAGAAGGCCATGAGAGCCCCAGACTCAGCCCCGCAGTTCCAGACCCCTGACTCCCAGTATTTCAGGCCCTTTTTCCTCCTGAGCTCCACCCAACAGGGCCCCTGCCTCCTGGACACTGCCCACTGGGTGCTCTCCAGGATTCTCAGATGCAGCATGTGCCAGACGGAGTCCACTGCCCCTCAAACCTCTTCCCCACAGTAAATGGCACTTCTAAGAAAGTGCTAAGAATTATACTGATCATTAGAGCTGTTCTTGTTTACTCAGGGCTTACTACATGTTAGGTTCTGTGCTAAGTGCTCTACCTGATCTCACTGGAACTTCTCAACAACCCTCTACAGTAGGTGCTGTTATTATCCCCACGTAGAGGGAAACGGAGGCAGGAGACGGTAACCCACTTGCTCAGGCCCCTAAAGCTGCGCTTCAGAACCAGGTCTGTCTTCAGAGCCCAGCGTGTAGTTGTAAAGAGCTTGGACTCTGGAGCTGGGCTGCCTTGGGAGAACCTGGCTGTGTCTATTGCCAGCTGTGTGACCTGGAGCAAGTCGCATGACCTCTCTGTGCCTTGGTTTTCACTTTGGAAAAAGGGAGACCATAATAAGTAACATAGCTCATAGGGCTGTGGTGAGGATGAAATGCCTGAGTCCATGGGAAGCCTTTTAAACACTGCCTGGAGCAAAGTACAGTAAATGTGCTGCCCCCCCCCCCACTGGCTGCCCCCACTGGCCACCCCGTCAGTCACCAAGTCCCACAGACTCCAGCTCCTTAATTCAGCCCATGTCACTTCTCTCCCAGTCTTCCTGGTCTAGGACATCATCATTTGTTACAGATGACTGTAGCAGCAGCCCCACCGCCTTCCCCTCTCCACCTGTTCCCCTCCCCACCGACCACGCAGCAGGGCCATCTTTCTGTTTCATTCCTCCCTGCCCAGAACCACCACTTCAGGGGTTCGCCCCTGCCCCCAGCCCACCCCTGAGTGCTAGCCCTTCCTGACCCCGTCCCACCTGGGTGTCAGGACACACCACTCTGCACTGTCACCTTTCTGTCCATGTGACCATGGGTTCCTTGAAGGCAAAGCTGTCTCTGATTTATTTCAGGATCCCCAGGACCTATATCAGCCAGGGCTTAATAGATCTCTAGTAGGTTCAACTAGCTTTGAAGCCCTGGGGTCAAGGGGACCTGGGATGGTTCTGAAAAAGACCACTGCCTCAGGGGGTGCCTGGAACTGGACGGGGTTACTCACCAGGGGCACCCTCTGGAGAGAGCCCAGGACTGTGGAGGCCAGGCAGCCCATGGCTGTGAGAGTGGGGAACTCGCCCTCGGAGAGAATGTGCTGTTCACCCTCAAAGTTCTTCTCATCAAACAGGATCCAGCTGGGGAAGGGAAGAGTGGAGGATATGAGTGGGTGTTTGAGCCCACGCTGTCCTCAGCCTGCCCGGGTGCCCCTGAGATATAGCAGAGTGGATGCAGACTTGATGGAGGGTTCCCCCTGTCCAGGGGAGGCCAAGGATGAACAGGCACTGCAGCAGCAGAGACTAAGGTCAGACTTAAGAAAGGACTGAATAAAATCATACTTCCCTACAGGGGGAAATTTGGCAACATCAAGCAAAACTCCATGCACAATTACTCAGCAATCCCATTTCTCAGTATCTATCCCAAGGACACCTTTAAAAAACATGAAATGACACATATACAAGGCCATTTATTACAGCACTGTTTACAGTGTCAGACTGAGAGCAGCCAAATGTCCAGCAATAGGGGATTGGTTGAAGAGACTAACAGTCTGGAATATAGCACAGCAGTCAAAAAGAATGAGGAAGAGCTCTTAAAGGGCTATAAAGAGGTCTCCAAACTGTTAAGTAAAAACAAACAAACAAACAAAAAAACAAAAAAACCAAGGTGCATACAATGTTTACAGTATGCTTCCTTTTAAAAAAATTGAGATATAATTTGCATACCATAAAACTGACTCCTTTAAAGTATACAATTCAGTACTCTTTAAGTATATTCACCAGGTTGTTGTATGCTTCTTTTTGTGTAAGAAAATGGAGGAAGAAAACAAAATATATTTGTTTCTATAGTTATATGTAAATTTGTATGAGTGTATATGTGCTTATATTCTTCAAAAAGAAACAATGGATGAATAAACTAAACACTAAAAAAAAAATTACCTATAAGGGAGGGAGGGGGAAAGGTAGCAGGAACAGAGATGAAAACTTATTTTTTTAAGTCTTGACTTTGGAACTGTTATGGACTGAATGTTGTGTCTCCCTGAAATTCATATGCTGAAGCCCTAACCTCCAATGTGATGGCCTTTCCAAGGTAATTAGGTTTAGATGAGGTCATAAGGGTAGAGTCCCCATGATGGGATTAGTGTCTTTGTAAGAAGAGATAGGAGCTCTCTCTCAGCCATGTGAGAACACACCAAGAA